AGCATTCTCAACACTCATTATCTCAACAACACAACAACTTGTTATATATTCAACACAATTACACAAATAACACACAACTCTACAACTCATAACATACATCTCAACTCATATTCAACTTCTTAATTAACAACTAACAACAAAATTATCACATATAACTTCATCTTTATAGCTCATTCATCATTTATTCATTTAACAACTAAATCAACAAGTATTCAACACTTCATCAACTACATCAACATGTTTTTCTTCAACAACTAACACTTGACACTGCACAACCAACGCCTGGCGTCATCCAAGTAGGGAGCTTTTTATCTCACCCACGTCCAACACTACACAACTCGCACCCAACATGGCTAAGACAGAGGTCTCTAAGACCTCATGCCTGGCATGGTAAAGTACCTCGCCCAATCCCACCTCAAGCAGAGAGTCTCTATCTGATTCACATTTGATATCATCCAGGTAGATAGCTTAGGCTTGGCCACGCTGGCTAGCACTCAACTTTGGGTTCGACGTCACCAAGTTAGAGACCTCTCAAGGTTCTCACGCCTAACACCATGCCAACCCAAGACAAGTCTCTCTCCTCACGTTCAGTGCCACTGATCCTACGCCCAACATGATTGAGACAAAGAATCTCAAGTTAGAACAACGCTCAATGCCCAATGAAATATTAAAATTCTGCACATGCAGACCTTGATTTTGCCTCAACATCTAAAATCCAACAAAGATTCAAGACATGCAACATCAAACAACACTTACATACAGCATACATTACAACCAACACATATATGCACTTATAATCAACGTGAAACCATAAATCAATTCACCACATTCTTCATTAAGAATCCAAAACCCCAACTCTCGCTACATTTCACTCTGATTTGATCCACATACAACCATGAATTGAAAAGGAATTCATACAACATACAACCAACACATCATTTAGCAACTCAGTAGTTTCACTAGAAGTAAGAATCTAGCTCCCCTTACCTCGGAACCGAAGAGAATCGAGGAAGGGGAAGAGAACCCAAGGTTTTGCACCTCACTCTAATGAATCAACCACAAGATTCTAGCTACTACTAACCTAAATCCAACAATAACACAACTTCTAATAAGGATTAGAAAATAAAGAAAAGAAGATATAGAGTTGGAAACTCACGAACTAGTGCACCTCTCTCTAGAATCCCCTCTTTAGAATGCTAAGGAAAAGAGTTTATGAAACACTATTTAAAACAAAAACCTTATATACTCTTCCTCTCGAGGCCAATTAAACCTTTTCTTTAAAGAAACCCTTAACACCACTAAAACTCCTAAAGGATTCTCAAGCCTCATAATCTTTCAATACTAATTAACAACTCAACTTAATAACATAAAATGATTTAAAATAATTATAACACTTCCACAACTTACAGTGTTACATTTCCTATTTATAAGACCAAATTGTGAACAATGGTTATTCCTGCCAAACTTAGAATAGTTATTTGTTTATTTATATAAAAATTCTACACATTATCTCACATATTAATTATTTTTAAACAAAAATACTCTTAACTACAGTTTGTTATCTTAATTTGATATAATTATAAACTCTTTAATAAACATGTACTCTAATTAGTCCAGAGAAAGATTGAATATTAATTTTGAGAGATAATTTTTATAAGACATATACTTTAATTGATTATTAATTAGAAAATAAAAGTAGTATGAAGGTAATTTTATAATATATTCCTTCAAATCCTGCTACGAACTTATTAAAAAAGTATTAAATGAAAATGCAATGCATTAATGTCTAGAAAATATAAAACGCGTCTAATACTTGCATGCAAAGTTCCTAAATTGCAACCACGGAGACACCAATTCCAACACAACAAAACAACTCAACTACATAGGAAACTCAAAGTTGATGAAATTCTTAATTAAATTATATTATGTATGTGTTGGGGTAGTAAGAGTGTCACAGAAATCAGATAAATACTAAGGTATATTCATACCAGAATTTTCAGAATCTGACACAACTCACATTTAAACTTTCTTCTCTCAAACTAATAAGTAAAAGTGTTCTATAACATGCAATTGACATTTCAATTCATTCAATTTACCAAAGGCACCTCATATCATACAAATAAAATTAAAAACATATAATTGATCATACGTTCAAATAATTCATGTCATTAGGAACGTTTAAGAATAAAAAGAGACAAAACAGACATATTAGAAAGTCCCTCATACATAGACATACAATAGAGACAGGATTGAGGATCAATTCCACTACCAACATACATCTGATGCCTAAAGCAAGACTACGTACTCACTCCCCCCTTACCTTAATGATCACCAAACTCTCTATGATCGATCCCCAATCTCCATATGTGATTTTGATCTTACGACTAATGATTTGGACTACCTTTTGAAAAATCTCATCAATGAGGGAATGCCCGAAAACCAGACTAATCCTTAATTAATGGTTTTGAAAAATAGTTCGTAGGAGTCGCCACTAATGTTTTACTCAAAATATTGGAAAAAGAAAAGGTTTTTGAAAATCTAATAATGGTCTTGATAACCAAAATTGGATTCGGGGGTCGGTTACGTGTAGGTAAGTATTAAGCACCCCTACAGCGACCTCAATCGGTACCCTATGATGAAGTTAACATGATAAGAATTAATAAATTAAATATTGAATCCCCTTTATTAATATTTATTTACATGCTTAAAATATAAATTAAGCGATTAACCCTAAAATATCTACATTATGACGTTTATTATAACAAGAAAAGAGATAAAGATGAGAAATAAAAGGAAGAGAAGAAGATTGATAAAATACCTCTTGAACAAGCTTTATTGAATCTTCAAATATGGAAAAGGTGCTTTGTGGCGACCTTTCACACTACAGTATGCCTCACAAATCTCAAGAAATACAATAGGAGGGAGAGAGAATATAGAGATGCGACACAAATCTCAAAAAATATAATAGAAGGGAGAGAGATAGAGAATTTTCGTGCTCAAAGGAGTCTTATTC